AGGGGCAAGGTCTTCTGAGGGAGTGAACTGGGAGGGGACAGGTGGTGAGGATTGAGGAGGGTAGTGAGGAAGGGGAGAGAAGGGTTGCTGAGGAGTGCTGGGCACAGCTGCCCTGGAGAACTTGATGATGTCAGAGCAGTCACCACCAAGTGGAGTGGCTTTTGCTAGCAGACCTGGAGGCTCCGCAGAGAAGGTGGCCCTGACTTTTCCTTGTGCTGCCCATCCCTCCCCATGACCCATCTCTTGTCTGTCTTTGCAGTCCCCACCCTGTGAAGCCCCTCAGTGCTGTCCCTGTGGAGGGCAGCCCCGACAGGAAGCCTCCTCGCTCCAGTCTGAGCACAGCCCTGAGCAGCGGTCTAGAGAAGCTCAAAACAGTCACATCTGGCAGTGTTCAGCCTGTAGCTCCTGCCCCCCAGATTGGCCAGGCTGTGGAAGCCAAGAGGCTGAAGGTGAGGCCCAGCAGGGTTCTGGGGGGGCATCAGACCAGAGCCTGTCATGCTGTGGGGAGAGCCCTGGGCAGGGTGCTGGGGAGGGTGGAGCAAGGAGGAGCCTTCAGGACACTCCAGAAGTCCTGAAGCCAATCAGCCATCTTTGGCATTGGAAACAGAGGCAACTCCAGGGGCCAGTGGTGGTGGAACAGGGGTGGTGGCTGGCAGGCCTAGGGCTGCCATGGGACTGCCTTTCTCAATCTTCCTTGGTCTGGCCTCAGGACTCAGGAGCACTGGACCAGTCAGCCAAGTACTACCATCTGACACACGACGAGCTGATTGGCCTGCTCCTGCAGCGAGAGCGGGAGCTGAGTCAGCGGGACGAGCATGTGCAGGAGCTGGAGAGCTACATCGACCGGCTGCTGGTGCGCATCATGGAGACCTCACCCACACTGCTGCAGATCCCCACTGTTCCCCCCAAGTAACCCTTCCTCCCCACCCCGGAGGGCTGGCGTGGACCCCAAACAGGGCTCAGCCCTCCCTCCCTCCTGCTGAGCTCACTCTGACTTGGGGCAGGGTGCAGTGTCCTCATTACTCCTTGCTCCCCTTTCCCTTCTGCCTCAACTGAGCTGCTGAAAGGGGTGCCTTTTGGACTCCTATTGTGGGGCACCAGGTTCCATGTACAACTTGGGTATCTCTGGGAGCCCTGGGTCCTTCCCACCTGCCTATTTTCATACCCCTTAGCTTTGGGGGCCCCAGGGAGTTCAAACAAGATGGAGCAGCTCTGAGCTGCAGTTTGACATGGTATCTGGGGTGAGACTGGTTGTTGACACATACTTTATGCCCCTCAAGGATGCTCAGCCATTTCTTCCTAACGCCAAACCCTCTCCTCTTCATCTCCCTCCAGTCCCTGGAGGGGTTCCCAGTATTACTGAGCTGGGGCAGGGACCAAGCTGCTCATTTGTCTGTGACTTCTGGGCAACCAGGCTGCCTACTCTTCAGCCGCACGTCCATTCTAGTGCTGGCAAGGAGCCTGTGTGGTCAGGTCTAGTCTATGTCATGTCCTGAGTCTGTTTCTAGCTGTCTGAGGAGTGAGAGCAGCGCAGATAATGTGCACTCTGCAGCTCCTTTCTCCCCTCCTCTTCTGACCTTGCATCAAGTGTCGTGCGGGAATGTGTGCGGGTCAGGGCAGGTGGGGCGAGAGCCCCTTCTCACTGTTTGAGTTCTCACCCACTCCAAACTGTGGGCCCCTGCAGGGCTTAGGGCTATAGGCTGCTTATGTTTTGGGGTTCTAGCCTCTATCTGTGTTCTTCTTGCACATCCAGATGCCAAAACTCTGTGCGGCTGCAGGGTTTGAACTTTTGGAAACCAATTAAAATGTGCCTTTTGTGGGAGGGGTCAAGAGCCCTTCCCCCTATTTGGCATCCCCTCCCCTCCCTGTTGAGCACGCCTGGAATGAATCTGTCAGGACTCAGGAATGGGAATGGAGGATGGAGGCAGCACTCTGCGCTCCCTTCTCCTCCTCCAGAGTTAATTCCACTTAAGGATCTGGCCAAGTTGCTGATGCTCCCTCAACCTCCTTGCCTTCTTCCCCTCCTTCAACCCCAATTGGAGAGTCCTGGGATAAAAGCTACATTCTGGAAGTAGGAGGTCCCACTCCGCCTTTGGGAGACACCTATACTTAGGAAAAGCCTTTGTTACCCTCCCATCCATCCACTGAGCTGCTGCCCCAACTGTCCCTCCTGCCCCTTGGCCTTGCCTGGCTTGGCTGCAGTGCACTTAGAAATGAAGTGTCAGTCCTCTGGCCTAGCCCCCGGTTTGCTTCCAGAAAGCAAGAGAGGCTTCCCCAGGGCATCGCAGGCTTGGGACACCCTGTTTCAGAAGAGGGCGGGGACTAGGAGGATGCTTTGGCCCAGTGAGGAAGCGAGAGTTCCTCTGGGATTGCCTCTTCTTTGGAGAGGGCCTGTGGGTCACTTCTAAAGCCTTGGGAGGAGGTATGCTCTGTGGCAATGTCTCTCTCCTGCCAGAATGGAGCAGAGGAGCCCCACACAGGGGAGAAAGCCCCTTAAGGACCACTCATCAAAGCTGGGAAAAGTATCTACAGGTGCCCAGGACTTCAGTCATGTGTTTTAGGGGAACCATTGGGGATTAGAAAAGTGTCTCTACTGGCGGGGGGGTCACTCCCCTACTTGGTATCCCCTGGACTCTACTCAGCCCCAGCCCTGACTCCAGTTTTCCAGATATTTTTGACTGTGGGCTTCCAGCATGCCCAGGGCAGGGATGTCTTCAGAAAAAATTTTGAGTTGAAGCCCAAGGTTCTTGTTTAGTGTTTCTGCTCCTGGCCCCAAGTTGGAAGAGAGCTGTAGGTGGGGAGCAGGCACAGATCTGCTTTGCTGTTTTGTCTTCCTAGTTGTAACTCCTGTTTATAAAGAGCTTGTTCTTCATGTTTTGAGCACTTTATGAAGAATAAAAAGTTCACATACTACAGGTGGCTCTGTTGTGTTCCTACTTTGGAATGAGTGAGTCAGAGAGGCTTCCCTTGGGGGAACCAAAAAAACAAAAAACCAAACCCATTTCCATCAAGTCGTCACGTCCGACTCATAGTGACCCTGTAGGACAGAGTAGAACTGCCCGATAGGGTTTCCAAGGAGCGCCTGGTGGCTTTGAACTGCTGATCTTTTGGTTAGCAGCTGTGGCTCTTAACGACTTCGCCACCAGGGTTTCCTCCTATGGGGGAAGGCAGCCTTAAATCGAGGTGGGGAGGTTCCTGACTGACACCACCCCTGCCCTAACATCAGAGGCAGTAGCTCAGTGTTGCCCAGGGGACTGTACTCAGTTCTTACTCTCAGGACACCCACATTTATTAGCCACGTTTTTATGGGTACATTTATTGGGTACTGTGGGAGAATATGGAGCCTTGGTGGCATAGTGATTAAGAGTTCAGCTGCTAACCAGAAGGTCGGCAGTTCGAATCCACCAGCTGCACCTTGGAAACTGTATGGGGCAATTCAACTCTGTCCTATAGGGCTGCTATAAGTCGGAATGGACTCGACGGCAACGTGTTTTTTTTTTTTTCTTCCTGCCGGGTGAATACAGAGGGTGAAAGACTTGATTCCTATTCTCAAACTACTTAGTGTAGTAGGGGAAGAGAAAAATCCAAGGTACAAATTGTTCTTCATGGCTAACTAGAATCTCCCTACAACTTTAGGAAAAGTCTGTTTCTGTGGTTCAGCCATTAGCAGATGAGGAGCTGTCACTGTTGCAGATCATGTGGTATCCAGAAAGACACAGGCAGGCATGAAACACCCTGCACCTCACCATGAGATTAAGGTGACCCGAAGTGGGGTTCGCTAGGGGCAAGACCAAATATTTCTACTGCCCTCTTTGGTGAAGTAGGAAGCTGTCCTCCTCCCCTCAGTCTGATTCACTGACCAGATAATTCAGCTGGGAATCTTCTACTCCGTTCTGCACAAGTGTGTTGTTCATTACTGCTGCTGGTATCTTGCTCTACAATCTGCAGAACTCACCCGTACCTAATGTCCTTGTATGAAGTGCTTGATAAACACCGAGCCCCCCACGCCCAGTTCTGTTCCTGCCAGGAATTATGCTGGGGAGGGATCTGTCTTGGTTGGCCAAAGGAGTTGGAGGCTGCCAGGGATGGATTACCCAATAAGCAAGGTAGGCACGGGTGTACTTGTGTTCACTACAGATTAGTAAGTAAACACAATTAAGCCCGTGCATACCTTGCTTACTGGTTAATCTGCCCCTGCTAAGACTCCATCGTTTAACTCCCTACTGTGAGCCTTCCTATACCTGGCCCTAAATATTTAGCAGTGAATCAAAAAGTCACAGCCCCCACCCTTCTGGATCCTAGCTGTTGAAAAACTCGTTGCCATCGAGTCAACTCTGACTCATAGCCACCCTACAGTAGGAAAGATACATGCAAAATCAAAGAAATATAAATGCAAGGGCTGCCATAAGAAGTACTGCGTGCTATAGGAATATGTAACGGATTTTGTGGAAGTAGGGCAGTGGATCTGGGGAAATGCAGTGTTTAGGCTGAAGCCAGAAAGAGAGCAAGCGTCAAAGTAAGATAAAAGTTAAAGTCCTCTGGGCAAAGAGTACAGAATGTTCAAGGGCCGGGGGCGGCGAGCACCCAGCACGCTCCATGAACTGAGCGGCAGGGCGACTGGAGAGTATAGGGGGCAGGGTGGTGACAGATGAAACTGCAAGAAGCCGCCGCAGTGCAACTCCTTGCAGAAAGCCTTCCGAAATTAACCCTACTCTGTATGGAGTCCTTGTCCGTCTGGCCCCATGACAGGCCGGCTTGGATCGGGCCCTTCTCCTGGCCTGCAGCTTCAGGAGCGACGTCTACGGCAGCACCTCCATCTTCTGGGGGCAGGTAAGCAGCGAATGGGTCTGCTCGGTGGCCTCCTGTCGAGACCTTAGAGTTGTACGTGCACACTCTTCCGGACTGCCAGCCTCAGCAAAACTAGCGGCGGAAACCGAGACCCGGGAGGTGCAGATACAACTCTCCCGCAGTTCGGGGTCGTCAAGCTCCGTGACGAGAAAAACTACACTCCCCACAACCCCTTGCGCCTCCGGCTCGCTGCGGTTGCTTATGGCCAATCGGGAGCGGCAGCTGTGGCGGGGGCCGAGGAGGGACATTTTAAAAGGGCCGGAGATTGCGGGCGTCATTGGCCATGGCGGATACAGCGACTACAGCGTCGGCACCGGCCGCTGGTGCCGCGAACGCCTCAACAGATGCACCTCCTTTCCAGCTGGGCAAGCCCCGCTTCCAGCAGGTGAGGACGGAGCTGTGGACTGAGGGTCGGCGGGTGGCACAGCGCGGGCGAGCAAACTCCCTTCAAAGTCCTCTTTAGCCTTCGGTTCTCGGACCCGCGGCCACCAGAGCCTGCAGCTACTGCCTGGGGGACCGCTGCCACAGCCGCCCCTTTCTTATTGGTCACTGGTGTGGGCGAGGACTCCCACCTTGGCTCTCTATTGGTGTTTGGCGCCGTCACTCCCCAGCTGTCTGCCCCCTCCAGCCTTTACCGTCCGAGGCGCCCTGTGATTGGCCGCCGCCGGACGGGCCCGGATCCCGGGCGCCCGGGTCGGAGCAGCTCCTGCAGGGTCCCTGTGGGCTGTGCGTCCGCTCTTTGCTGGCGTAAAGTTCCAGTTCGGCTCTGGATGAGAGATTGGCGTGGCTGAGATGCCTTGTAACTTTTTTCCGTCAGTGGAGACTGTCATGCTTTCCAAGCTACTGGTGGAGCCGCAGGGCAGCGTCTGCGCCCGGCGGTCAGGCTCCCAGCCCCTCTACCCTAAGTCGGGTCTACGAAGGGCGATGGGTCAGGGCCTCATGCCCAGGGGTGTCCACGGCCGTGCGCCCTGTCCCCTCTGGCTGAGGGTTCGCTGACGCAGCGAGTCGGCCATGTGGCACCCTGCCGGGAAAGGAGCTAGGTGGACGTGCGGGGAGAGCCGGGGGCGCGGAGGAAACGCTGTGTCATCTCCAGGACCGTCGGCTGGCCCCTTGCGGGGTCCGCGGCCGGGAGTCCGCCCAGCCCCCTCCCTGGCTGTGTCCTAGGGAGGGTCTCCGCACCTGCGGCCCTGGCGCCGCGCCGTGCTCGGCTCCCTCCAGACCCGCTCGGGCTCTTCAGGGCACAGGAACAGTGGTCCTTTCTTCCCGGACCCCCGACAGGGCGTCGCTAATTTGCCCCAGGCCACTGAAACGGGAGCCAGGAGGCTGGCAGGAGCTGTTCCCTCGGGCCCCCGCAGCCTTGAGCGTCGAGGAACCGACTTATTAGGAAAAGGGCAAGATCGCGTTTGAATGAGTCGGGGGCTTCTTGCCTGGGAGTGGGTGGCAGCGGAGGCGAACAGAAGGAAGTTTGCTGGAAGAAAAGAAACTGTGCAAAGGTCGGTGCGACGGTGGTTGTGTGTGTGTGTGTGTGTGTGTGTGTGTGTGTGTGTGTATGTGTGTATTTAGTGGGGAGGGTGCTGATTCGAGCAAAGTGGTGCCCCGAGCTTTGAGCTTCGCTGATAATTAAAGAACTGCGCCCCGCGCCTTCTGAGAAAATGTCCCCGCTGTTTTTAAATAGGACTTTAATTTCTTTTAAAAATAAACCATCTCAGCATGTAGGTGTCTGAGGGGAGACTGGCGTCTTCCCGACAGTGTAGGTTGCCATGCCACCTAGGGCCACACTGTCAGGGGTGCCTCTGCCTGGACTTGAGCGAACCTTCATTGGCTGCCTTTCCACCCTGTCCTCCACACATTCTCCTCATCCTTCAAGGCTGAGTAAGGTCCGCCTCCTCTGAGAAACTCCCTTCTTCCCTCATGACGTTAACCCCCAGGTTTTATCAGGTCGCAGCCCACCTCTTGGTCACCCCAAGGGGGATCCTCATAGCCCAGGCTTTACTTGAAGTTTGCTTTGTGGGCCTCAGATTGTTTGCTGTGTGGTTACCGGGTCTCCTCAGCCCCAGTGTACACTTTTTGAGAGAGGGGGCAGGTCTTGTCCTTCCCTTGTCAGCGTCTTTCCCTGAGCACTGGGTTAGGCACATAGTATGTGCTGAATAAAGATTTGTGGATTAGAAACTGCTCTTCCGGTGCCTGTTACCTGCGTATGACATTTGGGACACGTAGTCACCCAACAGACATTTACGGAGTACCTCCTAGGAGCTTTAATTGAGTCCTTTGCTGTTACTACCTTTGGAGCAAAAAATGCACGTCTGAGGCTATTTTGCTCCTGCAGCCCTTGCTGGTACCTATTTTTGGCATGGCTCTTGAGGGGAATAAAAGCTTTGTTGTGTTTGCTTTTGAAGTTCCCCTTCTTCAGCACAGTGACCTGCATAAAGTACATTGCATATGATTTATCCATGTTAAGGAACTTCTCTTTCCCCCAAACCTGCTCCTCCCACAGTGCTCCCTGGCTCTGCAAGCAGCACAACCAGCCACCTCTCTGCTGGAGCCAGAAACCTGGGAGTAACCTGTATAGTTCCTCCCTCTCCTTCTTTCTGAATGCACTCGGAGGCCCAGTGATTTCACCTCTTCTAAAAAAACAGTTCTCATATCTGCCCATCTCCACTGCCACAGTCCTAGACCAAGCCCCATTATCTATCTCCTGGACCCCTGCAGAAGCCTCCCAACAGATCTCCCGCTTCCACTTGGGCCCCAATCCAATCCCTCCCTCTTCCACATATCAGAGTCCCAGCAATGCAGGTATGATCTCCTGACCCACCCACTGCTTAAATACCCTTTAGCGCCTTCCCCTGCTGCTTCTAAGATAAAAGACCTCATTTTTGAAGGTAGCTTCAAAGGCCTGCATGGCCCAGCCCCTGCTGACCTCCTTCTTCCTGGAACCACCTACCCACTTCCTCATTCCCACCACACTGGCTGCCTTTTAGCCCCTGGAACCCATGGTGTTCTTTCCCACCACTGGACCGTTTGCCTGGAACACCACCTCTTCTGCCCCCAACTCTTGTTTCCATTCCTCCTCATCCCTGATGTCTTCACGAAGCATCACTTCCTTGGCGAAGCCTCGTCCCACCCCCAGGTTGAGTTCCTGGATTGTGTTCCCCTACTGCAAAGCACCTATCTCAATGTATACTGATTTTGGGTGATTATTTTATTGCCATCTGTCTCCCGCTCTCAATCGTAGGTTCCATGAAAGCAGGGACTGTGCCTGCCTTTACTCCCCTTTGACTCTCCAGGGCTCAGCATAGTGCCTGACACTTAGCAGGTGCTTACTATTTGTTGAATAAATGATTTTACTGCAGATGCTTCAGTAGGTCTTTGTGGACTTGAATTAAGTTGATTTAAAAGGTTGTAATTAGGAAGGTGGGCCAGTGTTTCTCCAAACTATCCCTGAGGGGTCTTGTAAAATTGCAATTAAGTAGGGGCAAGTTGGACAGCGTTAAGATTTTTAAGCCTTGAGAGACCCCAGAGTGGAAGGGTCTCTAAGGAGGTGCATCTAGAGACACAAAGGTCTGCTACGAATGTATAAGGTTGACAAAGGCCCAGCTCATGTCTCTGTATGGTCTTGGCATACAGTAGGTGTCCACTGAATGCGCACATTGCCCCGTGCTGGCCTGATAGAAGCCTGCTTCTTAATCCAGGGACCATTCCCAGAGACCATGCCAAGTATACCAACTTCATTCCGCAACTGGCTCCAAGGTCTTTCTTTATTCCCTGGAGTCACGCAAAAATCTCTTCTTCTTCTTCTTCTTTTTTTTTTTATTGTTGTGCTTTAAGTGAAAGTTTACATTTCAAGTTAGTTTCTCATCCAAAAATTTATACATACATTGTTATGTGACTCTAGTTGCTCTCCTTATACTGTGACAGCACACTCCTTTCCACCCCGGATTTCCTGTGTCCATTCGACCAGCTTCTGACCCTCTCCCCTTCTCGTCTCGCATCTGGACAGGAGCTGCCCATTTAGTTTCATGTATTTACTTGAGCTAAGATGCACACTTTAAGAGCTGGCCTTGGGAATGGTTTTAATTTTGGGTTAACAGAGTCCAGGGGCCATGTCCTCCGGGGTTCCTCCAGTCTCAATCAAACCATTAAGTCTGGTCTTTTTACTAGAATTTGAGTTCTGCACCCCACTTTTGTCCTCTGTCAGGGACTCTCTGTTGTGGCAATAACCCCTTCTTCCTTTCGTCTTTCAAGGGTTCCCTCCCCAACCCCTCCCCAGTGCATGTACACGTGGTGGGGTAGGAGGAGGAGGAAAAGTACTGAACAGGATCAGAGAGTGGGGGAGGACAGTTTGCCTTGATGGGTCCAAAGGTCTGTGACTGTTTTTCTCTTCATATAATGATGATGTTGATGATGAAAGCTACGCATTGTTCCAGCCTTTTTGTGTATTGATTTATTTAATTTTCACAACAACCCCATGAGGCAGGTACAATTAAACCCATTTTATAAGTGAGAAAACTGGGGCATACAAACAGATTAAGTAACTTCTTAGGCAGTCTGGCTCCAGAATTCATGTTTGATGATTTGTTTATTGCCATTCAAAAAAAAAAATTTTTTTCATTTTGGTGAACGTATACACAGCCAAAGATACACCATTTCAACAATTTCTACATGTGCAATTCAGTGACATTGATTACATTCTTCAAGTTGTGCTACCATCCTCACTATGCTCTTCCAAATTATCCCACCACCATTTTCTTAAACTCACTGCCCCCTATGCTTCCCATCCAACCTCCTGAGTTGCCATTGTCAGTTTTATCTCACATAGATAATTCTTTAAAAACAGCATGATGCTCAAATCAGACATGCATTACTAATTGAGATAAACTATTTTTTTTTGTTTCAAAGAAATATTGTCACTTTTTAATTATAGAACTTTTCAAACATAAAAGTGGAGAGAATCATCGATAAACACCTATGTACTCATCACACAGCTTCAACAATTGCAAACTTAAGGTCAGTCTTGTTTCATCTATACACTTTATGTCCCATCCCCTTACCCAATGAATGATTTTGAAGCAAAGCCCAGGAATCACATTATTTCATCATACCTACTAGTTGTTGTTAGTTGCCATTGAGTCAACTCCAACTCATAGTGACCTTATGTATAACAGAACAAAACATTGCCTAGTTCTACACCATGTTCATGATCTTTGGTATGTTTGAGTCCATATCTACTAGTAGGAACCTTTAAAAATTAAGGACCCTTCTTGGTGGTGGTCATTGTTGTTTTTGTTGTTAGGGGCCATCGAGTTTGTTCTGACTCATAGTGACCCTATGTACAACAGAACTAAACACTGCCCGGTCCTGCACCATCCTCATGATCGTTGTTATCTT